TTAATCACTCACAAGGGCAGAACCCTCATGACCTAATCACTCTTTAAAGGTCTCACCTATCAGCACTTGCTGCATCGGGGAATGTTTCCAACACATGAACTTTGGGAGACACCTTCAAACTATAAGACTTAGCATCTTCTGCCAATAGAGTGGAGGACTCAGATTCGTTTCAAATACGACATGGGCATTTTGGAGGGGATTTATTACTTCTTTCCCTTGGCTTCTGGTGGCATCTGCCCCACCCCTCCTCCACACAGAGTGTAAGAGGCAAAGGTCTTTCCCAGGGCGGGGTGGGCCAGCCTTGTCAGTGAAGACAATATGCTCTGGGAAGAGTGTGGCCTGGGTATTTTTGAACAATTGTGCTTAGCTGGGGTCAACTGGTTTCAAGTTTTGGGAGCCTCGAGAACATGCTTAAAAGAAGCTGCTGGAACTTTTGGGGGCATCAAAAAAACCTCTGTGTGGCTTATCCTAAAAACTCTAAAAGATACCAGTTTCAAAAACTGATAGAAAAATTTATTGAGATATGAAGATATCAAGCATCCTGTGGATGCTCTAGAATTTTTTTTTATTTCAGAATATTATGGGGGTACAAATGTTTTGGTTACATGAATTACTTTTGTACAGTTTGAGTCAAAGTTATAAGTGTGCCCATCACCTAGATAGTGTGCATTGTTAGGTATGAATTTACTCATCCCTTCTTCCCCCCAACCTGTTTGATTTTCATTGAATTTTACTACCAGTGTTTGATCAACACTACCATGAGTGTTGATCATTTAGTTCCAATTTAATAGCGCATACATGTGGTGTTTGTTTTCCATTCTTATAATACTTCACTTAGGAGGATGGTCTCCAGTTCCTTCCAGGTTGTTACAAAAGGTATTAGTTCACCATTTTTTAATGGCTGAGAAGACTCTATAGTATATATATACACCACATTTTATTAACCCACTCATATTGATGGGCACTTGGGTTATTTCTACATCTTTGTGACTGTGAATTGTGCTGCTATACACACTCAAGTGCAAGTGTCTTTTTTAATTAAAAAAATGGAACTCTTCATGAATTTGCATGTCATCCTTGCACATGGGCCATGCTAACTTTCTTGGTATCATTCTAATATTAGTATAAGTGCTGCTGAAGTGAGCACTCTAGAATTCTTTAGAGCTCCTCAGTGGTTGGTAATGTTCAAATCCTACTAGCGGATTTAAAGCTAGATGTGTGGATATTTTAGGTTGTGATGCTATTTATCTTTTAGAGACAGTTTTGCTGTTATAATATTTATTTCTCCATCTATGGAACTAAAATTATTAATAGAAAGATTCATTGGTGTGAGGGGAAATGGGAAGAGAGAGAAAATAACTACTTTAGTTTACTCTCCTGGTCCTGAAGGGTAGCACCCCTGATTTTTCCTAGGTGACTCAAAAGTTAAAATCCTTCTATACTAACCTGGCCTTTCCATGTGGCAACCAAACAACGATGAAATACTTCAGAAGACTGTAGTCTGATGCTGAGTTCTCCCCATGGTAATAAACACAGAATTCAGGAACTTTCACCGTGCTCGCTTAATACAATTTGCCTAATGTCCTCTTCCTAAAACCAAATGATAGTTTGGTTCTAATGTGGGTTTTGGATGTTGTTGTGGGTGCCAGCAAGCCCTTTTGGCTGCCTTTTGTTGGCAGATGTGGAATTTCTCATCAAAGAACATTAGTGAAGTGTGAGTACTTACCTAGGGGTGGCGTCGTGGGGCACCTGTTCTTGGGCCTTGGGTCCCTGGGACCCATCTGTTGGGTGCAGCCTGCCTACCACACAGGGGTTGGGGGAGCAGAGCACCCATTCTAGCTTGGGACTGGAGCTGATCTACGTGGTGTCCAACAACCAGTTGAAAAAAGTGAAGACATTGTCAAAATGGCTTTGGTTGCTGTCCCCAAAGATTAATTTTTCTGGCTTCAACTCAACAATTTACAACAATTCTACTGAATTCAGTGATGTTCACTGGTTGCCTACTTTGTACCTAGCACTGTGTCAGCCGCTGGGGATGCAGCAATCGTGTGGACAGGCGGGATCTTCCCTCCAAACCAACTGCTGAGTGGGCGAGGGAGACAAAGGGCAGTAGGCAGCTACAGCGATGGGGGTACACAGTGCTGGCAGACTCAGAAAGTGAGGCACATGCTAGGAGTCAGGCATCAGGGACTGCCTCCCAGAGGACACAGTGTCTAGGCTGGGGCACATTAGGGTACACAGGAGGTAGACAAGAGACGGCTGTACAGTTAGGACCTGCAGGAAGTAGATAGGAGGAGGCGGGGGGGAGGGGTGGAAAGCAAGGAGCCTAGGAGAGAGGGCTCTGGTTATCGGTCGCCTCGTAATAAAACACTCCAACACCGAGTGGCTTGAAACAACAGTCCTTTTATTGTCCCTCACAGCTGTGTGGGTCAGGCCCTGGCTGGAGCTGGAGCAGCAGGCCCGCTTTTCCGCGGGGTCCCAGGCCTGCCAGGCCACATCTCCACCCCCACTGGCGTGGGCTTCCTTACAGCGAGTGACCTAGCGCACCTGGACTGCCCTGTGGCGGCTGCAACTTCAGGAGCGTGTGTTCCCGAGGGCCAGCGGAAGTGGCCTAGTGTTTTCCCATGTCCTGAGGGAGCAGGTCTAAGATTGGCTGACAGGCTTTAACACAGCCACAGAAGAAAGGGCATGCACAACAGGCTGGAATGGCCCGTTTGGTCCCCTCAAAGAAGCTCAGGTGGCTGGGGCCTAAGGGAGCTGTAGGGACAGGCAGGTGATGAGGCTGGAGGGGACAGAGGTCCCAGTGTATGGGGACCTTGTATGCTGTGTCCTGGAGCCCAGCTCTATCCTGAGGTGGACAGGAACGTTCTAGCAGGTTCTGGGTCAGGGTGGTGCACTGGGGAGTGGGTGCCCTGTGGGGAATGGTTGGGAAGGAGGTTGTACAGGAAGTGGGGGCACGGAGAAGGTGCCGACAGCAGTCTGGGGGAGGGGTAGGGATGCAGTTGGATGATGGATTGGTAGAGACCTGGATGCAGAATTGACAGGCTCGGGGCCCGATTGAATTGGGGGCAAGAGCCTGGGAGCAGGTGAGTGGCACCCAGGACTGTGGCTTGGACCACCAGGCAGTGCACACTCTCTCCACACCTTTGCCAACACTTGTTATTTTCCTTTTTATTTTTTAAATGGTAGCCATCCTACTGGGCGTGAAATGGTATCTCACCGTGGTTTGGATTTGCATTTTCCTCGAGGCCATGATGGCCTCTTGGCCGAGAGGCTCCAATCAGAACGCAGCCACCTTCTGGGAAACCAGCACACCAGGCAGTAGAGCCGTGGGCACTGCATGTGACCAGGACAGATGGGGAGGAGGCCCAGGAGCTCACACTGCCCTGGGCAGCAGCCAGTCCCCACGCAGGCACCGGCGGGTCACAGGTGCGGGAAGCAGACGGCTTGATTGACGCCTGGCTTGGCTGCTGACACTTTCTGTTTTCCTCAGTGAGGAAGAATGGGCTCAGCACAGAACGCTGAGTGAGACTGACCGGTGTCTGGCGTTTGGGAGTGGGAAAGCACAACACAGCAGCCTGAAGTTCCAGACTGGAGAAAGACAGAGGGCGACGGGACAGGAAGGCAGGCGCCCATGACATCCCTCCAGAGGTGCTCTCGAGACGGGGAGGGCTGGCTGCAAGAGACAGGGTAGTGTGGGGGTCCAGGAGGAGGACTCATGATGAGCAAGGACCTGGAAACCCAGGGTGAGTGTGGCAGTGCCCAGAGCAAGCCAAGGCTCGAGAAAAATGCTAAGACAGGAAAAGAAAAATTTAAAACTGCATTTTGGCAAGTGATGAGCACAGGAAGTTTGGCTTTCTGCTTGGGGACGATGGTTAGGGACGTTCATCAAATGTGTACTTGTGTTGGTTCTGTAGCTATGGCTCAACTTTTATGTGACAAAGTTGTGAGTTGCATCTCAGTTGCATGGACCCCCCAGGTTTTAGGTCACGGGCCTGGGCATGCCCAGATGAACCAAGTGCACAACCATGGCAGGAATCTAAGTGCTCGGCCCAAGGAGGGGACTGAATTAAGAAGCCACATAGCAGGGTCCAGTCAGATCATGCCTCCCAGCATCACCTCATTGCCAGATCCAATCAGATTGTGCCTCGTCACCCTACGATGACAAAACTGGCCCAAGCCTCTTGGGATTACCCTGGTGTGCTCCCCGTGCAGAGTAATGATCCCCCTGCGCTCCTGAATTGGCTGCGTCTCCTGACTTGATATCCGCCAGGTGAACGAACCCCGCCACCGGAGAGGTGGCAGTCAGAGTCCTAGGTTCACCCTGTCAGAGGTGTTGGGGCTCAGGAAATGACACCCCAAAGCATGGTGCTTTGACATGCTGAGGACTTTGACTAAAGAAGTGGCCTCGGAACCAAGGTCTCTCTGATCTCAGAGGCACTGGCTGGAGGCTGAGAGAGTCCACCCAGGAGTGAGAGGCCGAGTCCCTGCTTTGGCTCCGCGCTGGCCGTGTGACTGTGGGCGGTTACGCCTGTCCCATGCCTTTGCGTCCATTACGGCATGCTGGTGCTAGGGAGGCACCCCCATAGCTTTGCCGTGAGCACTGAGCCCAGGCTCCGGCCCTACTCAGGGGCTGGCACGTGGGTAGCGCGTGTCCGACACTGTGAGCTCTCAGGCATTTGTAGCCGAACAGCCCGGGACCTCCAACCGCGCACTCCCCGGAGACGCTGAGAGGGGCCGCGACGCGCAGAAAGGAGCCAGTGCACTGAACGGAAGGGGCAGGCAACACCGCAGCCTCCGCAAGCAGCGTGCCCGTGCCTCTCACCACCTCCTGCTAAACGCAGCGCTTCTGGGCAACCTGGATGAGTGAAATATCAACTCAGAAGCCGAAGGACTTATCAATAAAGGTCTATCCTACAAGACTGCGCTGGTTCAGCTTTTGTGCTGACTAGAAATGCCGATGAACAATTAGCTAAATCAATACTCTTTGATACGGCAAGTCAAGCCTATTAGTATTTAATCAGGGCCATCTTTAATAGACAGATTGAAGCTGGGAGATTCTGGTTTCTTCCTCAGTTGACTGTGTTTCTTGGCTTGGCTTGCCTGCGCTCTCCTGAAGGGAGCCCTTTCCTTGCAGGCAGCCTCGGCGCTCCTCAGAGCAAGCTGGTGAATCACCTCGCACGTGGGCTTGCGATGGTCTTTCTTCTCTGTTAGATTTTAACTCCTGGAGTGCAGAGACAGGATCTTATCATGTTATCTTCGGCACCCACCTAAGTGCCTGGCACATTACAAATGTTTGTAAAAAGAGAGAGGAGGAAGGAAGGAAGGAAGGAAAAGCAGGAAGAAAGGAAGAGAGAGAGTGAAGGGAGGGAGGGAGGAAGGAGGCACTGACGTCCATCATGAACAGGAGGAAAGAAGAGGACTTCCCTGGCTAGAGAGTGACTGGCTAGAGACTTCACCGGCTTCCCTGGGTAGGGACTCTCACCTCACTTTCCGTGGGGCATGATCTTCTTCTAGGAGCAGAGGCCCTTTGCTGGAAGCAGTGAGGGCTTCCTTCTAGCTGACCAAGTCTTTGTGTTTTTATCCGCCCACGACCCTGCCAATATTGTTTCTAGAAGATGATTCCTTCCCCAAATAAGTTCCCCAAAGCAATATTTTTCCTTGTGGGGACATAGTTACTATAACTGTGTTTATTATTGAACTGAGGGATTCTTCTTTTGTTGGGAAATTATTTTCCTGGGGCCCTGAGAATTTTTAAATGAGACATTATTTTTCATATTTTAGTAAGACAAAAATAGAATGCTAAAGGTGCTTTGGCGACAGAGTCAAAACACAACTTTGTTCTTGTCACTTGTACCCAGTGAGTGACTCAGGGGAGCTCAATTTCTGGGACAGTGGCCTGCCTGCCCTCCTGGCTGGTCATCCTGCTGACTCCTCAGGTGGCCAAACTGAGTGGCAGTGGGCTGGTGTGTGTGTGTGTGTGTGTGTGTGTGTTTAGTATTTTCACAATGTAAGTCACGTGTGGCTACACTTGTTGGGAAAGCAAATAGGTATACAATCCTGAATCCAAATCATGATGTGGAGTGTCCTCCGAGCCCCTGTATTTGGATGAGTCTGGGACTCGCAAGGCTCTGAGTCCCCCTGTCTCCCTGTGTGGAAATAGCACCTTTATCAGTAGAGCAAGGGCCGCGTGTTTTGCCCGTCCGCTGGGCCTGAGCAGCACAGGCCTGCCAGCTGCTGAGGTTTCTAAACAAAGAGGGAGGGCTTTTTCTTCCTGCGTTTCCTACAGAACAAGAATTAAGAGGCTTCAGCAGAAACCGCAAGCAGAAGCCCGTGAGGGCCCACTGGCTTCCTTCCCGGCCTCAGTGGGTACACACTCTCAGACCGTCAGTCTTAAGTGTGCTGTTGCCACCCTCTACTCCCTCGGGGTGATTCAGATATTTTCCTCCAGATCCCCAAAGGCCAGGGACTTGGGGGCAGGGGCAGGACACAATTTCCTTTTGAGTGCAGGGCACATGTGCAGGTCCACTAAATCGGGATGGTCAGGGCCTGACTCAGCTTCCCCAGGCCGTCCTTGGCCTTGGTCTTGGGTCTTCCTTGTCTCTCCTCCCCAGAACTAGCGGAGGGCCTGGCCCCTGGAAGGCAGAGGTGGGTTGTAGGAATGAGGTGGGATTCGGGGCTGCAGTTGGTGGGGAGGCAGCTCCTTCCAGACCTGACCCCCACTGCCCACAGGAGGATAGGAGTCCAGGGACAGAACCACAGCTGCAAACCTGTTTCACTTTGTGAAAGGTGGCCTTTTCTTTACCAGAAAACAGCCTTCAGAGGTGAGTCTCCCCCTGTGAAGAAAACCGCTTTGATGCAAACAAACATTCCTGCGAGATTGCCTTGGGGGTCCTCCAATTCTCCCCGAGGGACCTGGGAACCAGCTACTGTGTCTGGGGGGCTCAGGGGTCTGGGTGGGCACAGGGGCAGAGGGACCCTCAGGACCAGGGACGGCCAGGGCAGGGAGGGAGGGTGGGAGAGGGGAGCGAAAAGGATCCGGGAGGGCCACGGAGGGGCTGTCACACAAGCAGCGCCCTTCATCAGAGGGGAGCCTGGGGCCCTCCAGAGGGGGCTGTCTCAGCACCCCCACTTCCTTTTGGACTCTAGGGATCTCCAATGGCTAGGCGGTGGTGGTGTGTGTGTGTGTGTGTGTGTGTGTGTGTGTGTGCGTGTGTGTGTTACTTGTTCTGGGGCAGGGGAAGTAAGCTCCTCTGGGTTTATCTGGGGCTGGGGGTCGTCTCCTGCAATTCTCAAGAAATGCCTTCTGTGGCAAAGTCTTCCAGGTCGTCTGTGGAGATGATGCCCAGGCCTGGAGCTTCTGCACCTTCCTCTTCTGGGCCCCGGGGAGGCCCCTGGGGGCGCTGGCCTGCAGAGTGCTGGGCGGGGTCTCCCTGAGGCCCCAGGGCCAGCTGCAGTCCAGTCTCGTGGGCACTCTGGGGCCGGGCTCGGGCGGCCCCCGGGGCGCGAGGGCCCTGCCTGAGGAAGGTGGGGGCGGAGAGCTGAGAGGAGCAGCGCAGGGGCGTCAGGGCTGTCACGGGCACGGGCCGGAGGCCGGGGTACAGCAGGTAGGGGGCGGCCGGGGCTTCCGGCAGGGGCGGCTCAGGGGAGGCCCCCTCGGACGAGGGGATGGAGACCTTGACGTACTTGCCTGTCTCTGGGTCGTAGAAGGTCTTGATTTTCACCTGGAGTGGCAAGTCGAAGAGAAAGTACTCTCCGGACTGGGGGTCCTGGAGCACCTTCTGGGTGGCGGGGTAAGGGGACAAGGGCGTGAGGGACTGGGGCCCCCCAGGCTGTCCCCCGGTGGGCTCCGAGAAGCCGGACACGGAGTGGCGATGCAGGGGAGGGGGCACGGAGCGCACCGCGGGGAAGCTGTGTGGCGGCCTCTCTCCAGGGGACGGTGGCCTTCGCTCTGTCCACTCCAAGTCCTCTGGGCAGGGCTTTCCCTCCCGGGGCTCGCCGAGCTTCTCTGGCAACTGGTCGGTCTTTCTCCTCTTGCTTGCCAGCTTCTTTGCCCGCCGCAGGGCCTTCTCTGTCTTGGGCGGGACTGCGGGCGGCTTGCTGGCCGCCCTCTCCAGCTGAGCAGGGAGCGCCGGCCTCCCGGGGGGGCCTGCAGAGCCGGTGGCCATATCCGGCAGCGAGTCTCGCGGAGAGAGCGTCCGGAGGTCTTCTGCCGAGGGCTCGAGTTGAGGGTCTGAGCTAGCCTCCCACACGAGGGCGTGGGTCAGGTCCTCCCTTCTGGTGAGCCTGGCAGGACCGGGGCTGGCCCAGGGGCTGGCTTGAGGGGGCTCCTCTGGCAGTAGCTCCAGCTCACTGGCGGCAGGGGAGCACACGCTGCTCTCCCCCAGGGAGCTGGGGTTGGGGGAAGTCGCCATCTCAGCATGCACGGGTCTTCTCCCGGGTGGCCCTGCCCTGGGCATAGGCAAAAAGTGACTATTGGCACCTTGTGTCCGTTCTTCCCAGCAAGTTCCCAGCTGCCATGGCAGTGGCCGGTCTTCTAAGTCACCCTCAGGTAAAGCGATTGTTGGGATGTCCCGGGGGGCGGCCGGCTTCCCTGAGTCTGTGGGACTGCTCTTGACATCGTGTGCCAAGACTTTATGCGCTGCATCTGGGGGTGGCTTCACCCCGGCCCCCCCCTCCCCCAGAGGCAGAGGTGGGAGATTCCCCTTTGGGACTAGCTGGGAGGTCTCCATTCTGGCTGTGCTGGACACCTGCCCGGGTTCCTCTGTGACGCCACGGGCCAAGGGCTTCATGTGTGTGCCCTGCATGTTAGCAGGTGCCAGCGTGCCAGGCATCTCCTGGCTTTTAGGGGCACAGAAACCAGCATCCTCCCCCCACCCTGGCCTTGGCGAGTCCTCCTCTCTATGGGCACTGCCCAGAGAGTCTTCGGAGGACATGGTCCTCAGGAGAGGCAGCATGATGGGTTTTATTACCGGGGTGGCTCTGAGCGTGTTGTCTTTAATCGTAAACAGTATGTGCTTGTTTGTAGCAGAAGACGAGGAGGGCACAGGGTCTTTGGCGTGTGAAAGGGAGGTGCCCCTACGTGCCCCAACCCAAGAGCCTCTGGGATTAGCTTCTTCCGCGGACGCCTTCCCGGACCTTCCTTCACACACATCTTCCCCTTCTCTTCCCAGCACCTCGCCCCGCACCTCCCTGCGCGCGCCCCCAGCGCCGGCGGCCCGGCACTGAGGCTCCTCTGCATCCCCGCCCACCTTCTCCTTCTCGTCCCTCTGACGGTCACCTGCACTCATGCCGTTCCTCCTGTCTTCCTGCTGGCTCTCAGTAAACCACGTCTTCTGCTGATCATCAAACGAGGCAAAGGATTGATCTGACGAGCTGGTGCTGAATTTGGCCTTGCCTTGGATGCTCGGCATAAAATCGGACTGGCTGTCGCTGTAAAACACATCTTCCTCCTCAGGGGACAGGGGCCCTGGGGAGAATTTCTGGGTCAAGTGTGGGTTCTGCAGTCCTGCCTCTCTCTTGGGTTCTGTCTCCTGCGAGTCGGATCTCGAGGGCCCGTTCTCTAGCTGGGTCCTTGTTTTCTCTGCGGCCTCGTCAGCCTCAGGCTCCCTGCTGCAAAGCTTCAGGGACAGGTGCTTCCTGGGGCCGCCTTCCCTGGAGTCTGGACGCCATCTGGGCCTGCCGGGCCCCAGCTCCGACCCTCCGTGGGTGTAGGCGTGCTCGTGACTGCTCTCGGCAGCCTCCCCGTTGACACAGAAGGGGGTGTTGGCGACGACTGGAGGTGTGCTAGGGGTTAGACAGCTGTCTGCTGGGGCCCCACTGAGGCCGGCTGCAGGGTCTTCCTGGGCACCGAGCTGTGATGCAGTAAGGGCATCCTCAGGTCTCTCCTTAGAGAGCTCGTCTGGGGGACTGTCCTCGAGCCCATTGGCGAGCATGATGCCATTGCTCGCGGGCTCTTGCTTCCCGCCAACCTTCCCTCTGCTTTGCTCATCCAGGTCTCGCAGGAGAGGTGAGGGGCTGTACGTGCTCTTCACACGCTTCCGCACGTCCTTGAGGTTGAACAGCAGGCTAGGGGCTTTGGACTTGTAACTGTCTCGAGACTGGCATTCACTGGGCTCCTTCTCCTGGTACCCGTTTAGCTGTCCTGGGGGCGAGGGGGTCTCCGCGGGCGGACTGTCTGACGGATCTGGGGCGAGCTTGGTGGGTATGATGGGCGTCAGGAGCTTGCTGATGTTGAAAGGGGGGTTGTAATGCTCACCTGGGTCCGCAGGCATGTCAAGAGCATCATTTTCTGGAAATTGCCCCTGGGGGTCGTGCTTTGTGTACAGAGGTGGGCCTCTCCTGTTGCTCTGTCTCTTTTCTTCTGCAGCCTCTTGTAGACTTGCTTTCCCTCTTTTGCCAGTCTTTGGTTTCCTCCACGGGGCCTGGGTAGGCTTCACTTGAGGGTCAGGCTGCGAGCTGGGAGCTTCTCCCTCCATGGCAGACACCGGGGCTCCTGGATCCCTGCACCCCCAGGGCCCAGGTGCCAGCAGAGCCCCGGCGGCCAGTCTGCTCTCAGCCTCACTGAAGCTGGCCTGGCCTTGGCAGGGCGAGACTTCGTGCTCAGGAGGGTGGGGTTCTCGTAGCAGGGGCATGTCCTTGTAACATCTGGGAGCTTTGCTTTCTGGGACAGTTTCAGCAGCGTTCTTTCTCTCAAGCAACTTTGGTTGGTGGGCGTGCCACGACTCAAAAGCACTGTTTTCACTGTGTAGAAAGGTCCCTTTATGAGCCCACTCCTTGCTTCTGCCAGCCTCACCCGGGGGTGGCTTGCGGGCTGGGGAGGAGAACTTTGACTCTAATGAGATGGCCGCGTTGTCAGGCGCTGGGAGGAAGCTGCTGGAGCCATGACAGGCCATTTCAGGATTTTGGGGGGACTCCTGTTCTCCGTGCTTCCTGCCGGGCTGGTGGCTGCTCTGATGGGCACTGGAAACTTCAGCGGGCACCCTCCTGACTGTCAGAAAGGCGGAATCGAAGCAGAAGTTGACACTGTTGTCTGGAAGAGGAGCAAATTTGGGAGTGGTTTTCAGAGCTGGGGGCTTGCTGGTTGCAGGCCTGATCTCGCAACGATGGCTCTCCGTCCTGTTGAAGGACTGGATTAGTGAGGATACTTTGGAGATAGGCTTGTTGCTGCTTCTCAGGCCAGCAACTGGCACCTCCAGTCTCCTCTGGGCTGGCGTCGGAGGGGGGCTGCTTTTGGGGTACTTGTCCTCCCCCTGCACGTACTTGGGTAGCTGTTGGAAGGTGGCTGCCCAGCCTGCATGCTCTGTGCCTTGGGCCGGTAGCTGGCTCCAAATGCCACTTTTCCTGTGGGTGTGGCTCACCGTTCCCTGGTGGAAAGTCCCAAACACCTGGCGAGTGGTATCCGGGGACAGGGCCAGATCGGAGTCATGGAAGGATGTGTCCTCCGAGATGCACAAGCTCCGGAACGCCCGGTCTGTGAGGCTGCTCACCTCCCTGTCTGCATCGTCCAGCACGCTGCCGATGCTCGAGGAGTCGCTGAGCCCGTCCGTGCACTTCTTGTTCCCCTGCATTATCTGTCAGCTCTGGGAAGACTGTCCCCGTCAGCCAGGGGCGCCTCCGGTGATAATTCTGGCAAGGGTTAGATGTAGCCCCGTTCCCACAAAATTAGAGTTTTTTGTCAACCATCTGCAATTACCAGGTGGGTTTATTTTTCTCTGCAAAAGAAAGAAGAACAAGTGAGAACAGGATATCCAATTTAGTAGCACTATGCAAGACTGCATGTGGGTCTGGGGGGATAGTGGTCCCTGTGATGGCTAATTTTATATGTCAACTTGGCTAGTCTACTGTACCCGTTTCTAGTCAAACACTAGTCTAGATGTGACTGGGAAGGTATTTTTTAGATGCGATTAACATTAAAATCAGTAGACTTTGAGTAAAGCTGATTAGCCTCCATAATGCAGGTGTGCCTTGTCCAGTAGGTTGAAAGCTTAAGAGAGAAAAGACTGAGGTCACAGGCAACAAAAGCAAAAATAGACAAGTGGGATTACATTAATTAAAAAACTCTACACAGCAAAGGAAACAATCACAAAAAATGTAAAGGCATCCTACAGAATGGGAAAAAATAGGTGCAAACCATATATGTGATAAAAAGTTAATATTGAAAATACATAAGAAATTCCTACACTCAGTAGCAAAAAACCAAATAAGCCAATTTAAAAATGGGCAAAGAAATAGAACAGATATTTCTCCAAAGAAGACATGCAAATGGCCAACAGGTATATGAAAAGTTGTTCAATGTCATCAGGGAAATGCAAATCAAAACCACAGTGAGCCTCAGGCTGTTAGGATAGCTGTTATCAAAGAAATGAAAGATTACAAGTGTTGGTGAGGATGTGGAGAAAAGGGAGCTCTTGTACACTGTTGGTGGGAATATAAGTTTGTGCAGTCACTAGGAAAAACAGTATGAAAGTTCCTCAAAAAATTAAACATTGAACTACCATATGATCTAGCAATCCCATTTCTGGGTGTACATCCAAAGGAAACGAAATTAGAATCTCAAAGAGGTATCTTATCCACGTGTTCATTGCAGCACTATTCACAGTAGCAAAGACATGGAAGCAAACTAAACATCTGTCAATGGATGAATGGACAAAGAAAACACGAGATATGCATGCAACAGAGTATTATTCAGCCTTGAAAGAGAAGGAAATTCTGACATTTGTGACATCCTGAGGACATTATGCTGAAATAAGCCAGTCACAGAAAGACAAATACTGAATGATGTCACTTATATGAGGAATCCAAAAGTCAAACTCATAGAAACAGGGAGTACCAGAGACTGGGGAAGGGGGGAAATGGGGAGTTTTTTGTCAAAGGGGTAAAGTTTCAGTATGCAAGGTGAGTAAGTTCTGGAGATGAGCATGAGGATTATAGTTAACAGTACTCTATTGTATACATGAAATTTGCTAAGGGGGTAGATCTTCCATTGTATTCTTATCACACACCACAAAAGTAATAACTAAAGGGGGTGGGAGGAACCTTTTGGAGGTGATGGAAAGGTCTATGCTTGGATTGTGGTGATGGTTTCATGGGTGTGTTCTTATCTCCAAACTCATTGAGTTGTGCACATTAAACACATACAGCTTTTGTATGTCAATCTTACTTCAATAAAATGGCTTAGAAAAATAAAAGACTAAGGTTCCCCAGGAAGAGGGAATTCTGCCTCTGGAGCGCCTTTGGACTGGGGTTGCGGCATCAGGTCTTCCTGCGCGCCCAGCCCGCGGCCCGGCCCTGCGCGGACTGGACTTGCCGGCCTCGCAATCCAGAGAGCCAGTTCCTCAAAACGGGCCCGGGGCGCAGATGTGTCCTTTGGAGAGTCCTTCCCTGAAATTCCCTGGGTGTTCTCTCCTCAGTCACCTGTCTCACAGTGCACAGTTTATCTTCATGGTACTGAGCACAGTCGAAAATTAAACTTATTTCTTTGTTGCCTATCCCATCATTGGATTGTTAGTGCCAGGGGCTTAGGGACCGCTGGGATGTCCATTTGCTGATTGTGCCTTGTCCCAGAGCCGCCCCAAGGACGTACGGTCTCCAGGGCTCACGTCACCTGGGCCCGTGACTCTGACTTGCCCTCGTGTGTGGCCAGTGGGAGGTGCTGGTGGGAGCCCGCAGGGATGGGAGCCGCGTCTCCTCCTGCTCCCTTCCTGCGGCGGCGTGGGGACCAGAGGCTCCGCTCCTGTCGCTGTGGCCCTCACCCGGGCTCTGGCTGGGTGCCAACAACATGTCGTTCCCCTTTGCTGGCTGGGTCTTGGTGACGCTGGCTCCCGCTCTCTGAGTGTCTCTGCATCCCTGGGGTCCCCTAACTCTGCCTACACCTCTGTCTAGCCCCTTCATTACATTCTCTTCTTTTTTAAAAAAATTGTGAAATATATATAATATAAAATTTCCCATCTTAACCATTTTTAAGTATTTAATTCAGTAGTGTTAAGTGCATTCCCATTGTGCAACCACTCTCTCAGAACCTTTTCATCTCGCAAAACTGAAGCTCTACACCCGGCGGCTCTACACCCGGCAGCGACGTCCCAATTCCCCTCTCCCTGGCAACCACAATTTGACTTTGTGTCTTTACGAATGTGACAACTGTAGGAACCTCATAAAAGTGGAGCCACACAGTATTTGTCCTTTTGTAGCTAGCTAATTTCACTTAGCATAATACCCTCAAGGTTCATCCATGTTGTAGCAGGTTAGACTTTCCTTCCTTTTCAAGGCTGGACATCCCACCGCGCGTGTGTGTGTGTGCACGCTTGTGTGTGTGTGCGCGCTTGTGTGTGTGTGCTCGCGCGTGTGTGTGCGCGCACGTGTGTGTGCGTGCGTGCGTGTGTGCGTGTGTGTGCGTGTGTGTGCGCTTGTGTGTGTGTGTGCGTGCGTGTGTGCGTGCGCGTGTGTGTGCGTGCGCGTGTGTGTGCGTGCGCGTGTGTGCGTGCGCGTGTGTGTGCGCGTGTGTGTGCGCGCGCGTGTGTGTGTGTGTGTGTGTGTGTGTGCACATACCACATTTTGCTTATCTATTCTTCCACTGTTGGACACTGGGTTGCATCCAACTTTTGGCTACCGTAAGTAAGGCTGCCATGAACATGGGTATGAAAGTATCTCTTTGAGAACCTGCTTTCAGTCCTTTGGGGTATATAGCCAGAAGTGGAACTGCTAGATTAAATAGTAGTCCCATTTTTAATTATTTGAGAAACCTCCAGACTATTTTCCATAGTGCTTGTGTCAACTCACATTCCCAGCAGCAGCGTGCAAGGATTCCAGTTTCTTCACATCCTTGCCAACACTTGTTTGTTTATTCTGATCATGGCCATCCTAGCGGTGTGCGGCAGCACGTTGTTAGCGCTCTTCCGGATACTGTCTGAGGATGCTGCTTTTGGGACCCTTACTGTTCCCTCCTGGGACACATACCTCTAACGCCTAGGACAGTGCCTGGCCTGGGACCGGGAACAAGAAAAGGAAGACATAGAAAGTTAGACAAAATTGCAAGTATTGACCCTGGAGTGGGCCCACGTGGGGGTGTCTGGGTCAGTGAACATCTGGCAGGGTGCTGCTGCGTCCTCACTGGCAGCTGGGACACTGTCAGACAGCGGCCCTGCTCACAGCAGCAGGAGCTGAGCGGCCTGTGCTCGTCCCCCGGCTCCCGGCTTGGCCATGAGACTGCCGGTGCTCTGGGGGGTGGGAGGTGAGGGCGCTCCCACCAGGAGGCAGGGCCCGCGCCAGAAGCCCAGACCCTGCCCGGCTCCACCTCGCCTTGCTGTGACCACGGGCTGGCTGGGGCAGCCGCATTGTGTTCCCCCACCTGCAGGGTGCTGCGTGATTCTAATCACTCTTGTTTCTGTAGAATGGGGGTCATGTGGCCCCTGCAAGGCCCCAGGAGGTTAGGGACAACATCGCTGCACAGGGCTGGTCACGGTTGGTCACGGGGTCGATTGAAGCTACTGAGCTGCCAGTGCTGTCCTCCGTCCTGGTGGCCAGCCTTCTTCGGGTCTGTTGTTTCCTTCTCTTGACCACAGCACTCCGGTGAGTTTCCGCTGCTGACCCGTGGGCGGGTGGCTTGCTTTTGTCAGTGATAGCATCGAGCTTGGGCTCTGGAGAAAGGACAGGACTCTGCGTCCTGGCAGACTGAATGATCCAACAAGCAGCAGCTGACCTGCTCCGGGAAGGCCTCTCTGCACGGCCCCAGCCCTGCCTTGGGAAGCGGGCTGCCGGCTCCCGGGAAGCTCGGCTCATGCTTTTAGAGGGCTGCGAGCCAGGGAGACATGGGCCCGCGTGGCGGGCGGAGGCAGACTCAGGGGGCTGGGTGGGCACACACCCTTCCCTTCACCCGCAACCACTAGAAAAGCTGTCCTCAGCCTCCCACACAGCTGGCTTGGTGGGGGACAGGGCTCTGGTCTCAAGGAGGGAGGCCGCAGAAGTCTGGGAAAGTGCCGGCCTTTCTATTCAAAGGAACAATCCTGACGTCTCCACGCAGTGGGTGCCTTTCTTCTTGCTTTGGGCGCAGAGCGAAGCCTGAGCAGAGCCTGTCTCTGTGCTGCTGCCGTAACCAAGGCGGCACTCGGGCGGCCCAGACGGCGCCAGTGCCCGGTGTCCTGGTTCTGGAGGCTGGAAGTCCAACAGCGAGGCGTCGGCAGGGCTGGTCCCCTGAGGGCTGTGAGATGTGCCCAGGCCTCCCTCCTTGGCTTGAGGACGGCTGGCTTTACCTCATGTGTCCTCACACTGCCACTGCTCCATGCTTGTCTCCATGTCCCAATCTTCTCCTTTTATAAGGTCGTCAGTCCCACTGGATCCGGGACCACCTAATGACCTCATCTTAACTAATTATATCTGTAACAGCCCGATTTCCAGAAAAGGTCACGTTCCAAGGTACTGGGGGTTGGGACTCCAGCCTAGGGGTGAGCGATGGCCACTGAAGCCAACTTGCTGGGCCTGGAGGCTGGGCAGAGGAGGAGCGCCAGGCCCTGGCCAGCAACGCTGAGCTATGAGCTGTGATAGCACCACCCGCTTGAACTGGTATTACTGGGGCTGTGGGGACCTTAGTGGATTTGGCCCTTGTAAGTTGGGTTTTCTGCCTTTTGAGATCCTACCAATATAGTCAGAAGTCTCCTGGTGTCCTGAATGCTGGACTTTACACCTTGCCAAGGACCAAACTCAGGGATACTGGGCTCTCTGCACTTCCACATTAAGGAGAAAATAGGATGGTTGAACAGCCGCATTAGAAGCTTAGAGTCAAGTGAACAGCCTCTACCCAATTAAAAACCCCTGACTGTTAGCAAGTATTTGCTATATATTTTTTGGACACTCAGCTTCCATCCTCCTCTTCTGAGTAAAAGTACCTGATACCTTTTGGGGAAGTTCCTCCTCCCATGGCGTTCGGTCTTGGAGAGGCAGAAAGTCAAGGTGCCTGCCAAGGCGTCCTGGGCCCAGAGCAGACGTGAGCCCTGGTGTGGGCCCATCGATGGCGCTGGTTCTCCTGGAGTCACGTGCTGGGGGCGAGCTCAGCCAGCCTTCCCAGCGGTGGAGCTTTCGGGATGCCCTGGGGCTGCCTGGTCCCTGACGGGGCCTGGCCTGGAACTTTGGCCTTTACCATGAGTCTGTAAGACCTCCAGTTCCCTTCTAACACTGCTTAATTTCTGCTTCATTTTTTCTGTCTCCTGTTTCTGTTGCTTGTGGCCAAAAAGCCCTAGCTGATCTTGAGTTTTAATCATAATTCCAAACCGTGAGGAAGCATCCGATCTTCAAAGCATTCGGAAAATAACTCATTACTCCTGCCTCAGGGAAAAGAGAGCCAGCTCCCGCCCTTGCTGGCTTTGTTCAGACAATTTCTTCAATTCTGACTGAATATACCTGGAGCCTGATGGGAAAGCCGTAAAGCTGGCCTCACCTCCACACCCCCGCACAGGGCACCCTCAGCACAGGGCCCAAACCGCAGTTGTTTCTAGAAGCCGCTCTTGGGTTGGGTCCATACCTGTCACAGCACTGAGGGCTGATGCTGCCTGCCTTGCTGGCCTCTGGGGTTTGCAGCTTTAAAACTTCTTTTCATGCTTATATGTGGTGTCACCACTGCCCATCTAGAAAAAAGAAGAAAATAATTTCAGTGGAACCCAACTGACCAAAAGGCCCAGCCTGTGTTCAGTGGACAAGAGATCTTTAAATGTCAGTAATACAATGATGCAGTTGGCTTTCAAAAAAAAAACTTTCTTAAAATCCACACTTGAACTCAACAAAATTTCTATATAGCCATTTTTAGTGAAAACTAACATAGAGTTAATTTATATCCATTCTACTATTCATTAATTTGCTCGTGGTCCAATAAGTCTTCAAGAGCCTGTTTCAAGCCTTTGGGATTCTAATGCGAGTGTCCCGGTTGTGAATTACTTTATGATCTAACATCTGACCAAAGGCCCTTTTCCCACTGAACTGACAGCTTGGGTTTCAGGGCAGAGGGGACCGGAGCAGCCGTATTCAAGTCCACTCATCAAGGGGCGGCACAGTGTTCGATTTACTGCTGGCAGGAGGCTTGAGTATCTATTTTGACAGCTAAAAGAACCAAAAAGCTGCCCAGGAGGATTGTCAGAGTGCCCAGAATGAAGTGTAAACTAATTAAAATAAATCTACTGTGCAAATTTTAAATGCAGACCACTGGGGTTTCCATAAGACCTTCCCCAGCTCCTAGCTCCTGGATATGAATCTAATCCAAGGTAGTTTATTAATAACATTAATAATCACAATAGATCAAATTTGTGAAGTTAGTTTCTTCAGAGAATCACAGAGGCGCTTTGTGCCTACCGCCACACGGCTCGGCCCAGCCCCGAGTCCCGGGCCGGCTTGATGGGCCTCTGTCGTGTCCCCCGGCCGAGTGGCACCCCCCGTATGTTTCAGACACTGACGAGTCTTCTCTCCTCCACTAGAAAGAAAAGTCCCTGAACCCGGGAAGGGAGTCTCACATGCTTTTGTATACTGAGTTCAATAAACAGAAGCTCAGTAAATGTTGGTGACAATGTTCTGAATTGGGTTATCTTTATTCTGATTTTTTTTCCCCTGAACAGCAAACTGAAGCACAGGAAAAAAGGAAGAAGACAAAAGCATTGTATTGAGGAAGATCCTCCGCCTTGCGTGTTACAGCCGCCTGAAAAACTCAGATCGACCCAGTGGAGTGACTACCCAGCCATGCCACCGCTGCAGCTCCATGAGCTCTGAACACCCACCTGGTGCTGCACGTGGGTGGGACGCAGGTGTGGAAAGACATGGTGGCATTTACCTTGTGACAGTGTGGGGGCCCGTCCCTCTGTGCTCGGGCTCCCCCCAGCCAGCTGCCTAAGCGACTCACTGCTGTGCGGCCGCAACGTGCTCACCACCTGGAACTGTTCGAAGGAAGCAAACTTGAATTGGTGGAAACTCTGCTTCGAAGAATATTAATACTTTCCAGGAAAAAGGTGTGGTTTCCTTCAGGAAACGTGACGGAGGATAAACTGCATGTGGCCGAGCCGCCTTCTAAACAGGGTCCTGGAATCTGGTCTAAGGAGTACACAGAGTTAAAAATGAATATTTAATCACGGCCTGGAAAGCCCCCATTCATGTCTGTGGCCTTCTTACGGGTCATTTTTGCTGTGGCTTCTAGGCTGCACGCAGACTCTCGGCCACTGCCGTCCAGCCCGGCGGGCGCTTCTCCTCGGGCCTGGCCGCTCTCTCTCCTCTTCCTCTCTTCCGCTGCGGGCGCCCTCCGCCCCGCCCGGCCTCCTCTCCTCATCGGCAGCTCCGCTCTGCTCTGTGGCGTCCTGGCGGTCTGCACCCTGATGCTCCCGCAGGCCCCGCGCCCCCACTGCCCCGCCAGTCCCGCCCCTGTCCCCAGCCCTTCGAACAGACTCCAGACTCGGAGCTTTCCACAAGCCAGTGTTCTCCCCGGGGACCCCAGACACCTGGAGTCACCTGCGACTTCTCCCTCCTCCTCCTCCTGTGCCTCCCATCCGTTTCCAGCTCCTCCCCCATACTCTCTCCACGGCCGCCGTGGGCCGCGCCGCTGTCCTGTCTCCTTGGGCTACGGTAGGACCCCGTGTTCATTCCTGCGCCGCACCCACATCTGCTGTTGACAGTCACGTCTGTTCCTGTCAACCTCGTGCTTAGAATCCCTCGATGGCTTCTCGGTTTTGGAGAATGAAAATCAATCTCCTTAACGCAGATCCTCTTTCCAGCCTCATCTCAGACTGTTTTCCCCTCCGGCTTGGCTTTCCAGCCACACTGGCCTTTTTCCGGCTTCTTCAATAGGCCATGCCACTTCCTGTCCCAGGGCCTTTGCACACGTTGTTCCCTCCCCTTGGAATCCTTTACTTCCACGTTTTCCTTGCTACCTGGTTAACTCCTACATATACTTCAGAGACCGGTCCACATGTTCCTTCAACAAGGCAGCTTCCTCAGGCTATTTCAAGTCCCCGGTGATACACTTTCATAAGAGTTTATACCTGTTTCTCGTTCAGTACTGTAATTATAATTAAGTATTTAACCGGGAGGTTTGTTGTTTAATGTTTGTTTCTCCTGCTAGCCTGGGGGCTTCATGATGCGGGGAGCCAGGTCTGCCTGGCCCTCCGACCCATGGCCGTCACGTATAAAGAGCACAGCGCACAGTGCGAGAGGCGTGTGTCTAGTGAAGGGGCAAATCCCTCCACCTCTGTCAAGATATTATCCGCACTGCTCACTGGCTTGGCGGGATTTATGGTACTGATAGTCAATTATAATCAAATACATGCACAAGGATCACAGATTTCAAATTGGTGAATTTGAATTCAAGTGGATTTTATTTGCTTTTTTATTCTAAGCCCTAAAATATATAAAATTTGCCTGTGGTAAAAGATGGAAGCAGGTGGACTGGATTATTCTTAGAGACTGCTGGCCGGCTGGCTGGGGACATTGTCCACTGGCACCGTGGCACATGCGTTTAAGTCAGGATTGAGTTTCAAGGTGAATGCTGGTTAGCATTTGCATCAGGGAGAAGTGAGAAGCGACTTCATGACTTCTCCACTTCCCAGTTGTCCTTGTCACTGCTCTCCGTGCTCCAAGTTGGGGGTAGCTTTGATGCCCTCTGGAGGGGCAGCTCCCAGCAAATATTTGTTGACATTAGCCTGGGTTCTGTCCACAGCCGCAGTGTGAATGGCCACTCCATGATGATGATCTAAATCATGGGTGTCAGCAGCTGGAGAGCTGGCTCTGCCCAGTGCTGTGCAGGCAAGCCTGCGGAACTCAGCAGCACCCTGTTCTACGGGCCTCTAGCTCTCCACCGCTGGCTTGAGCCAAGTTTGCATCAGGTCAAGCAGGCTTTGCAAAACACCAGAGCAAACACTGGGAAATAGGATCCCCAGGCAGGAATTAGTAGAAAGAACCTTCCAGTTCAGCCACTGGGGAGGGGCAAAGGGTCGTTGCCATACTCACTATAAATCTGCCCATGGCGTGAACTGGGCACATAAGCGTGCTTCGGTAGCCCTGGGGTGGGGAGAGTTACGCTCAAGGATGTGTTTTGTCTTGTCCTTATTGCAGGGTCATCTTTTTGAATCAGAATATATCAAACCAATCAAATCTAAGCATGCCTCCCATGAACCAGCTTTTTCTCAAGACGAGCACTGAAATACCCTTTGCACAGTCATTGCTGAGTTCTAACTCTTCCAAAAGGTTTCCCACGTGATGCTTTTTCCATGCCTTGCCACATGATGCTGTTGGACTCTCATGGACCAGGACGTGCTGCCTTTTGCAGACATAACTCTCTGTCTCCCCTAATCCCTTACGGATGCCTGGCATGACCCTCAAGTTCCTCTTTGTTGGGGAGCTTGGCCTGTGGTGCATTGAATAAGGAAGCCGCAGGACCCCCGTGTCCTGGACTGTCTCCTCCAAGTGGGAGTCCCTCTGCCTGGAATGTTCTTTTCTGTCCGCTGGCCACTACTGGGGATCACTTCCTCCTCTGCTCTCCTAGTCCTTATAGAATCTCCTCCCTCCTCCCCCTCAGTCCATCTCTCCCACTATACTTTGAGATCCTTGGATTGGGGTCTGCGGCCCGGCTTGTCTTTGACTGACCCAGGGCCTGGTGCATGCTGGTGACTGTAAACGCTTTCAGCTGCTGTTGCTGAGTGCAGCTCTTGGGCCACAGGCTGTGATGACAGGGGTTTGCTGTGGGTGTTCAGGGTGCAGGTGGAGGGAGGGCTGAAGGCTCTGCACCCCATGTTCTCCTTGTCTTCCAGGCCTGAGAGAGTCACGTAGCCCAACTTTTGCTGGTGGGCTCTGCACCCTCATTCCTTATAGGCCGCTCGGGCAGGAATCGGCTAGGGGAGGGGACTCTGCATATCAAATCCTATATTCCAGGCCTATTCCAGATGCTCCACATACACCTGAGCACTGTGATTCTGGAGGCCCCAGCTCAGGGACCATAATCACCCATGTGGCTCTGCACTTTCAGCTTCACTTCTGAGATGAGACCACTGAGCCTCAGAGAGGGGAGGAGTCTCACAGCTGGCGAGGGCGAAGCAGGGCTTGGGACCCGCGACCTTGGAGTCAGCCCACAGCAGGGAAGGGAACAGTTGGTGGTCTGGCATGGCCAGACTGCCACATCGAACAAATTAAACACACAGGATCTTTAGCGAAATGTGAATTTTAGATAAAGAATAAATACCTTTTTACACTAAAGTATATACTAAAGTAAGTGTAAGTATACTTACACTTAAGTATATACTAAAATACCTTTTTAGTGTAAGTATATCTCATGCAATATGTGGGATATACTTATACTAAAAATCTATTATCTGAAATTCAAACTCCACTGGACTTTGTTTTTTATCGGGTAACCTAAGGTCCTCACCAACTTTTAGCACCCAAAGTGGATCCACAATCAGAGGAAGCCAGTATGGTGAGTCAACACTGAGATGACACAGTGACAATGATGGCTCATGTGTGCATGTCACCCTGCAGTTCATGACACACTGTAGCATTCACTGTCTTGTTTGAGTCTCATGACCCCTCTGTGGCGGGCTGAGTAGGCCATGTTGTCACCATTTTCTGGGTGGAGAAATGAAAGCACAGAGAGGCATAGGAC